TACGGATTGTCGACCGCACAATAACCTGTCGATATGCGATTTTTAGAATATATAGAATATAGAAGATATAGATAGAATAATTCTAAGAATCGTATATCGACAGGTTATTGTGCGGTCGACAATCCGTATCGACGCACAGTTTCTGGAAAGTCGAAATAGATGCGTAAACAACATCTTAAAGTTATATACACGTTATTGCGAATAGTATTATCACAGCCCCGGTGGTCGAGCTGGCTAAGACGCCCGTCACGGATTGTAGGGAGGTCCCAGGTTCGAATCCTGGCTGGGGTAATATTTTCCGCAATAATAATTTTAATAGCTTGATACGGTCAACAAAAATCGCTATAGCCAGTGTAGGTCGATAAAACTTATGAAATTTTGGTTTATAATTTCTGGCGATATATAATTTACCACTCTTGAATTTTAATTTCATTCCGATCTTACTCTAATCGCCTTAACTTCCCATACAGCACAAATTGTTACAGAAAGGTTTCAGAAAGATTTCAAAATTATTTCAATATTTCACATTTCATGCTCAACATTTCTGACAGAATTCTGCAATATGTCATATGAAATGATGTAACAGAAATGTTTCAGAAATCTATCATATGCAATAAATTTGAAAAAGTAATGCGAATATTACAGAAAGATTTTTCTCGCTTTTTGAGTCACATATATGGAACGTTGAAATGCTTGCCGCGCGGCAAAAGACGACACGGTAGCCAATCAACTTACAACTTTTGTAAAAGTATAAGAAAGCAATGATTGACTACTGCGTCATCTTTTAAAATTTCAAAATATTGAAATAATTTTGAAATCTTTCTGAAACCTTTCTGTAACAATTTGTGCTGTATGAGTACAAGCAGTCGCTTAATGTAAAGCTAACAGAGTTGATAAAAAACCTGCGATAAAGAACCATCCGTTGCGGAAAAACATTTAAAAAACACTTAAAATAACTTAATATGATAAAATAAAATTTCTAAAGCATTTGAAATTTATTTTAATAAGAGTTTATTAATCAGCTTGCGCAAAATATTATAAAAAACGTTAACACAAATATTCCAATTAGTCTTCAGTATCATTATTATTTCAAAAAGATTGTAGTAACTTTGTAGCAATATTTCAGAAAAGCTGCAAATTTCTTAGGGCGATTATTCTAAGTGTTAGGTAGCTTATCTGATGGTTAAAAAGTATAATATACGTAACACATACTATATATGCTTTTTAACAATCAGAGGTAAGCTACCTGACACTTGGAAAAACCGGCTTTTAGTAATTTTTCAGAAACCTTTCTATAAAGTTTCACGTGTAAGAATCACGGACATTTTAGTGTTTCATAGCTGTCTCAGAGCTATTGCAGAAACATTTTGCGATATTTCTGAAATATTTGAAATATTTCTAAGAGATTTTTGTAACCTTACAGAAACCTTTCTATAAGCTTTCAAGTGTAAGAATCGCGGACATTTTACTGTTCCAGAGCTGTCTCAGAGCTATTGCAGAAACATTTTGCAATATTTATGAAACGTTTCAATCTATCACATGAAATATTTCAGAAATATTTCTGAAAGGTTTTTGTGCTGTATGGGTTATTGACTTTAATAGTTACAACAAAGGAATGTGAATCGCCAGATGTTGATTAACAGTAAAAAGAATTGTTACACGATTTTAGTCTGGCAGCTGGTTTATTTGTTTAATTCCGACGTTTCGACCATACAGGTTATGGTCCTTTTCAAGGAATTAGATAATCTGCAAGTTTTATAAGACAATTGCCATTTGGATTTTATCGGTTACAAGCCAAATGATATTTTACAAGTTATTTTACAATATTTTACAAGTTTTAGAGGACAATTGCAACTTAAATTTTATCGATTAGAACATGAAATCTTACATATTTGACCAAACCAATATTTTCATTACATTTACAATTTCAATTTACATTGGAACATATTTAATATTTGTTCTCGGTTTTACCCTTTTACCTCTGATTTGGTTTTAGTTATTTATTCTTTAGTTATTGATTCTAGTTTTATCCTTCCGACTCAGAGCTGGTTTAGTTATTTATTTACTGTTAAATTCTCCGTATCTCCTCTATACCACCTTAGACTTTAGTCCTACTGTGGTCGTTACGTTGGATGGACGTGTCTTCCCACACAGTTCTCCGAATGACGCCCAGAGATACGAGTACATGTCAAACCTCTCTTTTTTAATTTAATATAAATTACGTAATGCTTGTAAGTAAAGAATATTTTATTTGGCTCGAAATCCGACTGATTTCATGTTGTAATCGACAAAATTTAAGTTGCAATTGTCCTCTAAAACTTGTAAAATATGTCATTTGGCTTGTAACCGTAAAAATCCAAATGGCAATTGTCTTATGAAACTTGCAGATTATCTAATTCCTTGAAAATAACCACAACCCGTATGGTCGAAACGTCGGAATCAAATAAATAAACCAGCTGCCAGCCTAAAGTCGTGTAACAATTCTTTACCTTCAATAGTTACCTAAACTGAACTCTTATAGCGTTTTTCACTGGTTGCACTAGTGCGCACTCAGTGCGCACTAGTCAAGAGCAGCGTGTTTCATTGAGCTTTTCGGTGCGCACGAAGGCGGTACGCACTGTTTCACTAGAAAACTTGGTGTCGAGTTTTTGCATTTTAGTGCAGAAACTCGGCACGAGCCCCAAGAGACGGTGTCGATCTAGTGCAATATGGCAGCGCGGGATATTAATACCAGTTTTTAGATGTGCTATCCTCATCATCATCATCTAGTAGTGACGAAAAACTTTGGAATGAAGAATCACGAAAAATTCCAAAAATCGAAAACTTTATTTTAAAGTCCCACTTCGCTTGGTTGCAGTTTTATTGTTAGCAACTTATCATTCACTTTAAAATTCACTTCAAATTCTTCCATTATAACAAATTCGTACGTACGTAGAAAGGTTAAGAACGAAAAAACGTGACACTTGACAATCAAGATCTGCGTCGAATGTTTAACTGGGAGTGCAAGAAACTCACACTTTCGGAAACATCGTGCAGTATCGGTGCGCACTTGTGCAATTTCGGTGCGCACTCAGTTCCTTCCAGTGACAAACGCTATTAACTTCCAATTTATCTTTACGAAAATACTTTTATCCATGAAGTATGAATTTATCCCGAGGGGGAAATCGCTGACCAAAATCTTGTACACCAATCCTCATTAATGCCCAGTGGGCATTACTTTATCTTATTATCTTATCTTATCTTATTTATCTTGTTTTATCTTATATCTTTATAATGCCCCAGCAAGGTTTAATGCTCAAGGGAGAAACCACTGAAGGCATTGGCGTACAGATTTGCGACATTACTGGGCATTACTAGGCATTTTCTGGGAATTAGTTTGGGCATTAGACCTAGCTGGGGCATTATAAAGATAAAATAAGATAAAATAAGATAACATAAGATAAAACAAGATAAATAAGATGAAATAAGATAAAGTAATACCTACTGGGCATTAGTGGGCATTGGTGTACAAGTTTTGATCAGCGGTTTCCCCCTTGCTAATGCCCAAATTAATGCCCAAAAATGCCTAGTAATGCCCAGTAATGCCGTAAATCTGTATACCACAATTCCACTTCAATTTATCCATTAAAACTTAAATTACTGCATACAAACAAACTGCAATTAATTGGAGTATCTGCCATTTTTCAGTCCGGCTCTTGGTAGCCTAATCCCGAGTCGAGTATTTGATCCTAGAATGGGCCTTAATTATTCTATTCTGTCTTCATTTGGACCTCGGTTTGAAACTCCAATTTGAGGTCCAGATGAGTAAGAAAATTGTGTTTAACATCATTCCAACCTCCAAAGAGAATGTAATATAATAATTCACCCTCTTCGAGAAATCTCTTAGGCCAAATAGGATCTACTGTTGATTACACTTGCATTGGCCTCTTTACTGCTAAAAGGGAAATAAGAACTCTTTTCAGGCTATCTAAGGTCAATATATTTCTCATTTCAATTTAATATATTTTCTCCGACACAAAGACCTTAGTTCGACCTCATTGATCCCAATTCAAAACTTACATGTACAAGGCTAAACTGATGCCAAAATATTCGACTCGGGATAACACTGCAATATTAACTGCGGATGCTTTTAAAAGGCCTGATCAATTAACATTAAAGCGTTTGTCAAATGCAATTTGTGGACGCAAGTACAATTTAATTTCTATTGTCGCAGGTGGGAACACAATGACCTGGGCGAACATGGTGGCTCATGGCGGCGATTATATTGCGAACGTCACTTAGCCGAGTATCTGGAAACTTTGCAAGCGAGCTACTTCGAATCCCAAAGAGAAGAATGTGAGAAATTGATGGCTCTTGTTAAGAACCACGTACATGTCATAAGGCTTCGTTCTCTCGTACCGACCAAGTAAAGCAAAAATTAATCTACAAAATTCACAACAATTAGTTTTTATGTCTGCAAAACAATTATCGAAGACAAATCAAAGTATAATAACGTATATTCGCAGTTAGGAGAAATAAGCACTTTGGTCTTTTTGTGAGATCAATACCGATTTATTATGCGTTTAAATATATAGGGTGTTCCAGGAGGAAAAGTCAATTCTAGAAGGTGATAGTATCGGCCATTTTAAGCAAAAATGTTCATATGAATATATGTCCCATTCCTCACTGTTTCCAAGATAGAGCTATGTGAATGTACAGTTGCAAAATTAATGACAAGAAAGAAATACTACGTACTATTTCTAATATTTATTGTTCAAGTGATATATTTTTTGTAGATCATAATAATTCTGCGCGCAGGAAAGCATCGTATTCTTCAACAGTAAACGTAAACATTTGTAAATATGCAAGGCATTTTGAACATTTCTACAATATTATCAGCACAACAGTCAACAAACGTATAAGAATAAATTCCCGCAGACGTTTATGAGGTTGGATAAAGGTTGAAGTGTACAGAAAAAGAAAGTAAATACACGAGACATTCAAGTAGCTCTATCTCGGAAACAGTGGAGAATGGGACATATATTCATATGGACATTTTTGCTTAAAATGACCGATACTATCATCTCCCAGAATATTGACCTTCCCTCCTGGAACACCCTGTATAGTACGAGTCAAGTGTTTTGTGAAAAGAGGCTCAGGTTGCATATAAGTATGAATATCTTTTGCCGATAAGCCGTTCTTCACAAGAGCTAAATCACAGCAGGCACTTCGAGCTTATTCATTTAAAGAATTAATTATTTGATGAAACCAATTAGAATTGACACGTGTTCAAAAAGAATTAGAACAATGTATAGAATAAGTAAACAATGTAGAATATAAAATGTCCTCGTGTGAGATTTCGAAAAAATAACTTTAAAAATTGGAGAATTTTTGACAATTCTTCTCAAAGTTTTAACATTTCCGAACAACTGTCAGCTTTATCTGATGAATGCAACTTCAAAATCGAAATTAGGCACCGCCTTACATCTTTTCACAAACGATTTTTTTTGAAGGAGCAATACAATATTTGTGGAAATTACGAAAGATTTATCGTTGAATTGTCGTGAGATGCGTATTTGTGTAGTGCTAGAACAGAGTCTGAACAGACCTTGCACCGTTTCGTGTCGCGCCGCATAGAAATCCACAGTATTTACGCCCGGCCGAGAACACATCGGCAAATTATTATTAGAGTCGGTCAGTTTGTCGGCTAAAACCGTAAGTGCTTGCACTTGAAGATTCAAGGAGTGCGATGGACTCGCGGGCGTAAATATCGCACGAAAACGTGGCGGCCGATTCTATAATTGGCCGGAGTATCTAGGAGGCCAACTATAATCACGGACGCCGGAAAATCGCGAATACCGAGTTTCAGCAGATTCCTCCGTCGCTTTCGTTATCGCGACATCACGCATGCGCAGTAATTATCTTGTATCTTTCAACGTGGCCTTCATCGGGCCCTGTTCTTACTATCTAAATTTTTTGGAGCGGAATCTCACCCTTTTGGAGTTTTTTTTCACTCGAAGAAATAATGAAAATACTGCCAGTCCGACTGGAGTGCAATTTCACTTTTTGAAAGAGTACCGCTATTCACTCTTTACTTGAATTGATTTTTTCAACTCTGATAAGTGTGCTATGTTGTACTTTAATCGATTATGTTAGTAATATAAAATTCATGGACGCGAGGCTTCGCAATTGTTTGTTCACTATGATCATCGCATATAGAAGCTGTGTTCTAATATTCACAGCCAGTATTGAAAATCTATACTTTATGTGACAGTTTCGCTTATATTGCTGATTGTCGCGGAAGAACCATCTCGGCCCGTGACGGGTCCCTTATATATCGGGCTATCGTCCCACACAGCACAGATTGCAGAAAGATTGCAGAAATGTTACATTGCAAGATTGCAATATTGCAGCAACGTTGCGCAACATTTCTGGAGGATTGCAGCAACGTTGAAATATCCGCCCTCAGAGAGATTGCAGTGCAACATTATAGCAATGTTGCAGCGCAATATTTTTGGCATAATTTGTCGTTGTTGTACATAAGCAGAGAATTTACTAATTACATATACATCCGGGCCTTTTTCAATACACAGCAAGCTATTGCGAGCAAAGCAGTCCTTTGTTTTTATTATTTTTGAAACATTGCTGCAATATTGCTGTCGAAAGTTTGCAATTTTACAGGGTTGGGAAGTAACTCGTTACTTGTAACGAAGTTACTGCAGTTACTTCTTTTTGGTAACTCTAACTTAACTTCGTTACTTTTTCTACATCTGTAACTGTAATTAACTCAGTTACATTTTTTCGATAACTAGTAACTAATTTAACAGTTACATTAATAGTTACTTTATGTATAGATTTTCAACCTCCACAAATCGCATTAGGCCTTGCATTTGCGCATAAACGCTTTTATCCCCTGCCGGAAATAATTCTACAAAATTCTACCAAAAAATTAAATATAACTGCCAGAATCTAAAAAATTCTACGTAAATTTAAAAAGTGTTTATAAAAATAAAAATCAACATAAAAATGCGAGAATTGGAACACTTTTGTTAATTTTTGTAATATTCTACAAGTAAGCAGATGTTTTAATTCTTTAAGATTTCGTTGTTTCTCAAATTTTTAAAACTAGTAAAGTTTTGTATTAATTTTTACAAAATTGTACATTTTCATGAAACACTACTTGCAATAATTTCTTGATTTGAGAACATTGTAATTTGTGATATTATTTTATAGATATTTTTACAAAGAAATAAATGTTTCAACGAAGATATAAAAATTTCTACAAATTTCTATTTCAAGTCAATTTTTTGTAGTTATTTATAGAAATTTTTTCCGCTAAGGTCGCTGCTTTACAATTCAGATGCAGATTCGATATTTTTTTATTTCTATTGCAAGGGAGTAACTGCAAAGTAACGATTCGTTACTTTTCGAGTAACTGTAACTGTAACGCGTTACTTTTCAGAATTGGTAACTTGTAACTGTAACTAGTTACATTGTTAGCGAAAAAACTGTAACTGTAACTAGTTACTTTTATAAAGTAACTTTCCCAACCCTGCAATTTTATATCCCTGCAATGTCTCTGCAAGATTGCACTGCAATCTGCAAGATTGTAACATTTCTGCAATGTAACTGCAACCATCTGTGCTGTATGGGGTGATCTTACTTACAGGTTCGGCGGCCATCTTGTAGCGTAATACCGTACTTTAAGTTGGAGTTAATTTTGGAGTGCTAATGACTTAATTTTAAAAATAAGAGTGAAATTTTTCACGTCTTAGAGTGAATTAATTCACTCTGTTGGAGTCGAGGGGGAAACCGCTGAGGGCTTTGTGGTGTAGAGATTTGCGGCATTACTGGGCATTACTAGGCATTACTAGGCATTTTTTGGCATTGGGTCTTGCTGGGGCATCAAGATATAATAAGATAAAATAAGATGAAGAAGATAAATAAAATAAAGTGAGATAATAAGATAAAGTAATGCCCACTGGGGATTAGTGGGTATTGGTGTACCAGGTTTTGGTCAGCGGTTTCTCCCTCGGTTGGAGTAAATATTCACTCGTACAGAGTGAAGTGATCAGTGACACCATAATTTGAGTGAAAATTTTACTCAAACAATTTTAAAAAGTACGCCACCGAAATGCGAATTTGCACACTTTTGCAGAAAAATAGCACCATCCGAGGGGTAAACCGCTGACCAAAATTATGTACACGAATGCCCACTAATGCCCAGGGCATTACTTTATCTTATCATCTGATTTTGTCTTATTATATTTATCTTGTTTTATCTTATTTTATCTTTATAATGTCCCAGCGAGGCTTAATGCTCAAACTAATGCCCAGTAATGCCGCAAATCTGCACACCACAATGCTCTCAGCGGTTTCCCCCTCGGGTTTACTCCTTGGCGGTTTACCGTCTTTCTTTCGATATCACCGATTGCTCTACCCAACGGTCGATGCTACTTTCTTTACTCACGCCTTTACACCACATCTGTACGCCATTCGCATAATGAGATCATTGAAGAGAACACTTGTGCAAATTCGGCCGCGCAAAGTTTACCGAAATCGCGACGGCAGAGGCGGGCACATGGCACATGGCACACACACTCGCGAGCGAATAAACTTGTTAACACGTTAAGGATTCTAATTACACACGAGCGGCGGGAGATGTACACGCCAGCCGTAGAATTGCCGTGGCCATTGAGCGGCAAATTTTAGATCTTGAGCGGTGTAAATTTTCATAAAATTGCAACAATCGCGGCCAAGTCGACATGCGTGACAGTGCGACAGTCAATTCTAGGCAGCTGGCTACGTGCGTCACTTTGCGAAGTGGAAAGTAACTCAAGTTCAAGCTGTGGCAAGAGAAGCTTTGCAGCAAGCAAAATCATCTTCCCTGCTTTTGCGAACGCAAAGTGTACGCAGGACAATGCAAAAGGTGTTATAACAATACAAATACACAACATGATTTTTTATAATTATTTTGAAGAAATGCTTTCTAATGAAAAATTAATAAGACAAGATCGTATTAAATATTCGTATCTAAATATAATTTTACGCGTCAAATATAAATTACAATGAATTTGCAAAAATCTTTCTCCTGCATCATTTAATCTCGCGTATGAGTACACGTGCAAAAATTTTGGAATGTACTCAAAAAGTGCCGATGCACGTTTCGTGAACACACACGTTGGGAGAGGAATTGTTAACGTCGCCGTACCGTCGTTCCAGTTCCATTTCATTTCCAGCTTTTAAGGCCACATTATAAAATGTTGTTGAGAACGGAGGTGCTGTTTAAAAAGTAAAGAAGCAAATTTACATAGTTACGGCCGCAGAGTCGGCAGAGTGGAGATGGTTACTGCCGTTGTAATGAAATTGGAATAGGTAAACGCGCGAGGACGGGAAAAGAGTTTCGCGATCACGTTTGCAAAACTAATCCCAGGCAGAACAAGCAAAATGCCCGTCTCGCTCGTATTGTTCTCGCAAAAGAAAAAAGAATTAAACTTTGCACACGAATTTTCGGCGTCATTAACGCGAAATTGGTCGCGTTATTATACATATAGTATAGGGCAACAATGTGAACTTTATAAAAAGTTTACAAAATGAAATTTTTACTTCCTGAAACTTATAAGAGTGAAAACATGTACCATTTATTTATGCAAGAAAATTTTCTATTTTTAATGAAATTAACGGAAAGTCATTATTCCTATTTCTTAACCATTTTAATATCTTTAATTGTTAAATTGAATTGTTAAAATGTTAAACATTTCAGCAGACAAGCTATCGTTTAAAAATATATTGAAATTGACTTGAAATTAGTTAATGCTAAAAAGATGATTTTAGTGAAAATAACAGAAAGTTATTACTTTTTAACTATTTTAATATCCTTTAACGTTATAAACATCTCAGCAGATAAGCTATCATTAAAAAATATATTAATGTAAAATCGAGGGGAAAACCGCTGGCCAAAATCTTATACGCCAATGCCCACTAATGCACAGCGGACATTACTTTATCTTATTATCTTATTTTATCTTATTTATCTTGTTTTATCTTATTTGACCTTATTTTATCTTATTTTATCTTTATAATACCCCAGCAAGGTAATGCCCAAACTAGTGCCCAAAAAATGCCTAGTAATGCCCAGTAATGCCGCAAATCTGTACACCACAATGCCCTCAGCGGTTTTCCCCTCGTGTACACGCACCGGCATAAATGCCGTCCCTATCCGTGTGAGACTCACGCACACAAACAAGCGGGTGACTAATCCGATCGTCGGACGATCGCGGCACGACTTTCGGATTGGTCGTTCGCTTGTTGTGTGTGTGCGCCTCACACGGATAGGGACGGCATTTATGCCGGTGCGTGTACAATTGATATGAAATTATTTAATGCCAGAAAGATGATTTTTTCATGTAGCAATATACAGGGTGTGCTTACCCGGACTCACGGGTTAAAGTGAATAGAATAGTTGTTTGCTGTTTTGTAAGTGTCTCAATAATTAATGAGAACTTAATTAATAGAGAACCGTGAATCGGCATGCATTCGCGCGATTCGGTGAGAAGAGGTGGCCTAGCGTTTATTGTTGCTACACGCTATGTATGCGCATACACTGACTACACATAAGCGACATGGAGTCAGCGTCGCATGTTATTGATGCATAGCAGCTGTTATTTTACATAGCGCTCTTCCCACTACCTCGCCGCGCGCGTAGCGTACGCAAACACTGGGCCGTCTCTCTCGCGCGGACGCTGCTCTTTGTTAATTTCTCATTATTTATTGCGAAAATAGCGAAACAGTAAAGGACTTTTTTTATTCAACTCAATCCACTCTACGTATCCACGAGAGATAGTCCAATCACCAGACAGTATATTATTTAATGCCGGATAATTTCATTTCACTATTTTGAACCATTATCTTTGAGTCATGTGTCACGCATCACCTAGACATCCTAGACGTTTGCTCTTTAGTTTGATGAAACTCGTAGTAGAGCTCTCTTCATAAACGTTTCTCTACAATTTTCTCTCTATCTCGACACTGTGCACTGGTAATTTCGAGAGTGCTCGGCCCGTTGTTCAATGTGTCGTACGCAATTTTAATAAATAAAGTTGAGCCAAAGAAACGTTATCATTCCATCCATTACGGGTCCTAATCTAGAAATCACAGTCATTTAATCAGAAGCCACGAGAGAGACAAGGAGGGGGGGGGGGAAGTAATTCTCTCAGATCACACTGAGCTGCTCCTTTTCCGAGCAATCCGTAAATCTACTGCAAGATTTATCTTCGCTTTTATTCGGATTACGAACAATAGGTCCTTTTAGCGCGTCCTGTCTCAGCTTTATTTCTTTCCTTTAATATTTATTACTATTTAAACTAAACACAAAAAAAAGATTAGCAATAAACACTTGATTTATTAGACTAAAATAATCTGTAGAAGCGTTTGACGCGCAAAAAAATGCTAAATAATTTGAGACCGAAAGGACTCGAGATACTTTCCATGTCAATTGCAAATTTTTATCTTTGGAAGATGAAATTATGCAACTTTGCTAATTAGCACTGTGTAAACTGTCGGCATTGTCTTTCAAGGCGCACACGTGGATTTATTATTTTAAATCCCATTTCGTATATCAATCTAGCACATCCAACATATCTGGCATATATCTGACGGTTAATATGGCCCGGCGCGTGTACGCGTTCTTCAATTATTCACAGCGGCGGCTAGCATGCAACTAGGCCTTTACATACGCGATGTAGTTTGTGCAACGTAATCCATCGTCCAATATTGATCAGAGCTGCGACTCACTCTCTCAAATGTATTAACTATTTCGCAGCTAAACCATTAAGTAACAGCTCCAATGAAGTTTTTTACATATATGTGGATTTTTTTTACGAACATAAAATACCTTTTACCTTATATTTTTAAAAAAGTGCTGTTTCGCTTGTTCGTGTCATAACTGACAGCGTGAATATAATACGAAAAATCGCGATAGAATGTGAAAAAATATTCGTAAAGATGGAATTAATGAAAAGTTCGTAAAATAACATTTTTTATCGTTATATCTGTACCATAATAATTATTCAAAGTAAATGCAATTTTTTAAAAGTAGAAATAAATTTCTATTAATTTTTTAATAGTATTTCTGTTAATAATTCTCCACAATTTTTTAAATTTGTTAATTAAATTTATTATTGAATATGTTATTATCATGCTGCGCGTGTCAAAGTACGGTTCGTTCTTTCACGCATAAACCATAGGTAATTAAAAAAAAAACTGTTTCTACCCATATAGCACAGATGGTTGCAGTTACATTGCAGAAACGTTGCAATCTTGTAGAGACATTGCAGGGATATAAAATGGCAAACTTTCGATAGCAATATTGCAGCAATGTTTCAAAAATAATGAAAATACTATATTTTCTATTTAAAAAATGTTTCTAATTACGAGAATTTTATAATGTTATTTTCGTTGATGCCAATAATGCGCGAATTATTAAGTACTTGATCAATGCGGTGTTGCTCGCAATCTCCATCTATTGCGAAGCGACATAATCTCCTTAGGTTGCTTCGCAATAGCTTGCTGTGTATTGAAAAAGGCCCGGATGTATATGTAATTAGTAAATTCTCCGCTTATGTACAACAACAACAAATTATTCCAAAAATATTGCTATAATGTTGCACTGCAATCTCTCTGAGGGCGGACATTTCAACGTTGCTGCAATCCTCCAGAAACGTTGCAGCAATGTTGCGCAACGTTGCTGCAATATTGCAATCTTGCAATGTAACATTTCTGTAATCTTCCTGCAATCTTTCTGTGCTATGTGGGTAATTTTCAATTAACCAGTGATATGTGTACGCGCGTTTTCGTAAATGTGCTAAATTTGGTGATTATGCAAAATTACTGGTAAAAGTATTGTAATAAATTTGTTTCGATTTTATACTCTTGCACTGTGGTACGGTTCGACATGGATTTCGCATCGATGTGGGATGGATCTTGCTTCGCGTAGAAAATCGCAAACCTACAAGGAGAGCGTTTTCTTTTAAAATTTACCCTGAAAATCACGTAATCGTGGAACAACATGGCGTTTTGGAAATTTACTAGTTGAAAATTCTACTAGTAAAATGTATACTAAATATAATTATTAGTAAAAGGTATGGCAAAATTTCAAAAACTCATAAAATTCTCCAAACTGCCATGTTGTTCCACGATTACATGATTTTCAGGGTAAATCGACGGGAAACCGCTGACCTCCCCCCCCCCCCCCAAATCTTGTACACCAATGCTTACTAATGTCCAGTGGGCTTTATTTTATCTTATTATCTCATTTTATCTTATAGTATTTATCCTGCTTTACCTTATTTTAGCTTAGTTTATCTTTATAATGTCCCAGCAAAGCCTAATGCCCAAAAAATGCCTAGTAATGTCCAGTAATGCCCAGTAATACCGCAAATCTGTACACCACAATGCCCTCAGCGGTTTCCCCGTGTATGTAGAACCGTACAACGATAGAAGTAGTCTTGTTCCGAAAATTATAAACAGAACTTTTTGCTTTTACTAGTAGTGGTTGGTAAATATGTACAATTACCAGTAATTTTGCATAATTACTGGTATTTAATTCATTAAAACACAGCATGTACCTTTGACTGTACAATATATGTAGATACATATACACTTTTTTAAATAAACATTAATTACCGATAGAATTTCTCATATATGCAATCTGGATACGGTTTACAGTAAACAGACAAAGCAAGTGGAGAACGACAAGTTAACCTTAGAGGAAGATATTGTGCATCACATTCCCATGGCAGTTATATTACCGCGCTTCCCGTATCTTACCGAGATTTATCTCAACTTCGGTATGATCTATATGAACGACGGTTTCGAATGGCGGGACTTCGAGTGAGTCGCAAGTTCAGTGTGAACAAGTGAACGCGAAGGTTAAACGATTTATAAAACATTCATTGCCCGTACAGGTTCTCGCTGGAGGATTGCTTAAGTCTGGGGGAAGGAATTAAAGTCAGCCCAATGTTGAAAAAATTCAGTTTAACCCGAAGTAATTTAGATCAGCCCCGAGTCGCTGCCATTCTTCAAGGGATGGTGTCAAATGATAATGTTAGTAGGTGTATCTCCGTTGTGCAAACAATGCGCAGACCACATTATTTTCGATTAAAAATTAACAAAGATACAAGTAAAGGTATAATTTTGTTAAAAGCTAAACTAAGGTCGTGACTGCAAGCGCTGTCTGCTTTTTAACAGTAAAACGAAGAAATACAACACTATCTACTGGATATTACCTGATAATATGTACATGTAGAAATAGTTTTGGCATCCGTTGGTAGATAACAAAGAGTTATTATACAATATATTGTAATTCCTGGTAGTAATTTTTCAACATGTTGACTGCCCAGAAAAAAGTTTCTTTGAAATCAAACTAATTTTCTTTGAATTTTGACCTTACTAGGCTTTCATTTAATTTCAAAGAAATGATTTCTTCACCTTAACCAAAATTTTATTTGATTAAGACTGCAATCTCTAAAAGAATTCATATCTATGTCTTCAAACCTAGCAATATTTTAGTACAAGTAAGTAAAAATTTAGTAGATTCAAAGAAATATAATTTCAATGTATTTAATTTGTTCAACCTAAATAGATCTTTTTTCTGGGTGTAGTAGTCGTTTGTGACCGGTGCTATCAAAATTTTTGATAAAACGCTATCTAATATAAAATTTTACACACATGACACAAATAACTAAATAGAATGTAAATTAAAAATACGTTATTCAATAGCATTTACGAAGGATGCAATTGTTTAATTATATTACACAATCATAGAAATCTCTTTAAGTTGCCAGTAATAGATAACAATAATCAAGCTTTTCAATCAACACTAACCGGCTAGTTTTAATACTGAAAATTTATTTGCGAAAAATATTACCTCAGCCAGGGTTTGAACCTGGACTTCCCTTCTCTCTAGGCGGGCGTCTCCAGAGGTAATATTTTTCGCAATAAATTTTCTGTATTAAAACACTAGGTTAATGTCGACTAACAAGCTCGATTATTTATATTACTCAATATTTTATCGTAATATACTCAATAATCAAATTTCTGCTGTTGAGCATACGATAAGATATACAAAGTTCCGAGGGGGAAACCGCTGAGGTAAAATAAGATAAAATAAGATGATAAGATCAAGTAACGCCAACTGGGCATTAGTGGACATTGGGGTACAAGATTTTGGTCAGCGGTTTCCCCCTCGCAAAATTCGTTGGGCAGGTAATGTGTCAAAGAAGAGATTTATCATATTTATTCCGCGCAATATTATTTCAATTATTTCAAATGCAGATCGAGGAGTTGGATCTGTCACATTGTAAATTGACGGATACCGGCGCACACGCAGTGGGCGAATTTCTGTCGATGCATCGGAGACTGAGGACCTTGCATTTGGCGAACAACAATATAGGTCCCGACGGAGTCGCCGGTATCGTTCATGGACTGATGAAAGCAAGCTCGACGGCCCTAAAAAATTTAGATCTGCGACTAAATCCTTTGGAAAATGAGGGAACTAATCACATATGTGCTCGTGAGTTCAGAAATATACCGCAATGTTCTCAGTTCTACCATCAAATTGTATTTTTATTTCATACTTTCTTGGAAATCATTTTTTCTATATTAATATTTAATTTTCATCTAATTTTAACACATAAAAATATTCAGACTAGTTATCCAAATCTTCATAAAAAAAGACAAGAGATAAAAAGTAATTTTAAAACACTGACTTTTAAAATTACGAAGCTTCAGGACTTTAGATAAAACTTTCTATACAGGGTGCTTCAGACCACCCGTACAGCCCCTTTATTTCGGAAATAGAACATTTTAGAGAAAAATGTTTCAGGCAAAACTTATACGATTTTAAAAGGGCTATATAATGAAAAAATAAATTTTCGAAACAATAAATTTTTTATGGTTATATGGAGGTCGCTGTCATTTTTTTAAATGGAACTCCCTATTGTTTATTATACTATCTTATTCTACTAAATAATATGAACAACTTTTGTCTGAAACATTTTTTTATTTGCCTAGTACTTTTTGAGATATTCAAGAGAAAAATTATAACTTTTTACATGTTTTGCTTATAATATTTCGATAACTGTTTGTTGGAGGGAAAAGTAGTACAGGAC